GTTGCACTGAAGGGTGTGTGTGTGTGTGTGTGCGAGTGCGTGAGACTTCATACCACAAACACATTTGTCTGGCATTTCAGGGCATCAAATGAAGCATGTTATTGATTTGCAACGGGGGGACTCGGCTTAGCTGCGGTTTGATTGATAATGGAGAAGAGCGCTGCTGGGTCTCCAGTGACATCCCAGTTTATCAGCCCTTATATGAAATTTAAATAACATTCATCCCTGCGTTACACTCTTACAGCAAGAGAGGCACTTGTTTTAATAAGGAGAGATGAATTAAAAGCGGATGTGCAAAGGTTGTTGCGGGAATTACCTTCATTGGCCGCACAAAAAGCCTAAATGAACTCTGTGACATTCAAAGCAACGTGTTTATTTGCTTTGGATCCAGATAGTTATAGGAGGAAAGCAAATTCATTTCAAGCCAGCATCAGATTAGCTTTTTAAAATGACCTTAAAAAGAAGAGAACAAATTAGTATTGGCAAAAATAAAACTAATACACCAACTTACCTTTGTTCCTGCAGAATGGTTTGCACCAATTTTTTTTCTCTGCCACTGTATTAAAACTGGAGCATAAGCTGACTGTTAAAGCAAAGATGGTAATTACAATGAAATTGAAAATTTTGAAAGAATTCCATTGTAAGTTTTGTTGGACGATAACTTACGAGCAATAACTTCTGAGTTTTTTTTTCTTCTTCTGCTCTCGAAGGTGTAAGATACTTTTTCCTTCTCTCCTGCCTTCCCTTATCTTCCCTGATTTGCTGCTCAGAGCCTCCTCTACGTTTTTTTTATCTGAAACCAGAAATTATGGATATTTTTGTTTTTATGGATTTCGTTAGCTGGTCTCTTAATACATTTTTGGGACATATTTTTTTCCATGGGAGGACATGTCAAAGGTGGGACCTCTATTCTGCTCCGTTCAACTAGCACATATTGGATTCTGATCACTGGATTTCTATAGATTGACTTGGTGGTCTCTTGGTGTTCCGCAAAACAGCGTCGGTGGCTATTCAGGCCATTTCCTGGCTGCCTGACCAATATGAAGGATTGCTGTTCTATCAGCACTCAGACTGAAGCGAGCTGGGACAGTCTGCAAGCAGTTCCTGCAGAGGGTCGCGGGCCAGCTGTGGTCACTGGACTTTGCTGGTGAGATGGAATTGATCTTGGAGAAGGTGATAGCTCGGCTTGGCGGGATTGGCTACACTAATTTTTGTGATTGGATTCACCACATGGGATGTACCAGTGGACATTAAGGCAGATGGAAAATTATTATTGTCTGCCTGACCGAAAACATTTTCTTCTGTTCCCAAACAACTAATTACAGATTCGGCTCTCCTCCTACGTGGTCTTGAAGGGCAGTGGATCTAAATTCTCCTGGGAGTTTACGTTGACTAAAGCGTTGCCCCCACCTCACCCCCCGTCACGCACATCTGTAATCTGGTTCCTGGAGGCAAGCTGAAGGCCGCACAGAATGAACAATTAACATCATTATTCTGAACTACGGCTGGGCGGTTTTTTTGGGGACTAGATTCTTGGAGCTCATTCTACAGATGTTCACACAAGTGCATACAACAACCATGGCTTCAGACACATGCCCCCTGAACTCACCTTCTTCTCTGGCTAATAAATGTGCTCTTGCTCTGCAGAGGTTTTTTTTTCTACAAATACCAGAGTGTGTCACATTTAGTGACGTTATATGATGTTATTGGTTTTTTCCCTCATCTATCCTTGTGTGGTATTTCGTTTTTCTTTTAAGGGTTTCACCTCCTCATGACCTTTCATGAAGATGATCCTCGCTCTGCATGGGTCTGTGGCTGCATGACATGAAGCACCTGTTCTTTTATGTTTGTTATGTTCTGTCTTCTTGTGAATGGGTGTTCTGAACTGTATTTTCATTGTGCTCTGTACAATGACAATAAAGGTTTATCTTATCTTGTCTTGCCTTGTCTTATCTTTTTTATAGTAAAATATTTGTTTCCTCCAAAAGAAAGTTTTGTTTTGTAAATTAGCAATAAATCTGTCCGTCCGTCCGTCCATTTTCTGTTGCTTGTCTGGGGTTGGGTTGCGGGGGCAGCAGCCTAAGCAGAGAGACCCAGACTTCCCTCTCTCCAGCCACTTGGGCCAGCTCATCCGGGGGAATACCAAGGCGTTCCCAGGCCAGCTGAAAAACAGTCCCTCCAGTGTGTCCTGGGTCTTCCTCTGGGCCTCCTCCCAGTGAGACATGCCTGGAACACCTCATGAGAGAGGCGTCCAGGAAACATCCTAACCAGATGCCCGAGCCACCTCAACTGGCTCATCTCGACGTGGAGGAGCAGCGGATCTACTCTGAGTTCCTCCCGGATGACTGAGCTTCTCACCCTATCTCTATGGGAGAGCCCAGACACCCTGTGAAGGAAACTCATTTCAGCCACTTGTATCCACGATCTCGTTCTTTCAGTCACTACCCAAAGTTCATGACCATAGCTGAGGGTAGGAACGKAGATCGACCGGTAAATCGAAAGCTTCACCTTTTGGCTCAGCTCCCACTTCACCACAACAGAGTGGTACAGCGCCCACATCACTGCAGACGCAGCACCAATCCACCTGTCTATCTCCCACTCCATTCTTCCCTCATTCGTGAACAAGAACCCGAGATACTTAAACTCCTCCATTTGGGGCAGGACCTCCTCCCTGACCAGGAGAAGGCACGCTACCGCTTTCCAGCTCAAGACCATGGTCTCAGATTTGGAGGCACTGATCCTCATCCCGGCCGCTTCACACTCAGCTGCGAACTGCTCCAGTGAGAGCTGGAGATCACGATCTGATAAACCAATAGGATCACATCATCCGCAAAAAGCAGAGATATGATCTTAAGGTCACCAAAAGGGATCCCCTCAACACCTTGGCTGCACCTAGAAATTCTGTCCATAAAAGTTATGAACAGAATCGGTGASAAAGGGCAACCTTGGCAGAGTCCAACTCTCAACGGAAACGAGTCCAACTTACTACCAGCAACGTGGACCAAGATCTGGCACCGGTCGTACAGGGACCCTACAGCCCATATCAATGGGTCTGGTACCCCGTACTCCTGGAGTACCCCCCACATGAGTCCCTGAGGGACATGGTCGAATACCTTCTCCAAGTCCTCAAAACACATGTAGACTGGTTGAGTGCAATAAATGATTACAAAAATTTATCTTGTACAATGCTCTATTTGTCTCTTTGAGTTACAACAAAATCAAATAAAGTTAAACAATTAAAGTAACAAAAAGCCACTTGTTTTTATTTCTGGATGTTCAGTTTGGGAGGGTAATGTTAAATGGTTTGCACTCAGCATTGATCACTTATCCATCTGTCATTGCAAATCATCAGATATGGAGCGTTTTTGAAATTTTCGCTGCTCACATGTTGACAATTTTTACTAATTATTTATTCCCATTAAAGTCAAGTATGCAAAGAAAAAAATATATTTATAACACTCTAAAGCCTGAAAAGAATGTTTTTCATTCAAGACCCTGTCATATAGTACAATATTTTTGACAAGTTATTTTGAAAATTTTGTCCAACACTAAAGATGTCTATGTTGAAGATGGAATAAAATAACCTACTGGAAGGCTCTTTTGTGTGTATTCATGCTCTTATGCTTCTTTTATCCATTTTAAGTACACTTACCTCACACTTTTATAAATTAAAAAAAACATTGTTAGTAGTCATTTTATTATAATTAATACAGAAAATCTTATTAAGAGTAAGACCCTACCTTGATGTTTGTGGATGCCACTGTGATTGAAACTTTAGAAACCACTGGCCCAAAGCATCATAGTGAGACAGGGCCGTTATGCTTCAATGTAAGCTGTACCAGCTTATCCAAGAAAACCTAGCTCAAAATAATTAAACTTAAGTGTATTCGATGGGAATGAGAAAGGCAAGCAAATGCAGGTGTTAAAAAACCTGGACAATGAAAAACTTAACAGCAAATATCCAAGTGTTAAAATGTTCAGCTGAGTTTGACAAGCAAAGCAGTATACTTGTTCTACAAGAACAAAAACTGGACAAATTATTACTGTATTTTTCTGCATCAAACGGATACTGGAGAGAGAGAGAGAAAAAAAAGCAGAGGATGCAACGAGACAGACTGGGAGCATATTGTCCTCTGGATGAGAGCCATGTATGATGAGGTTAGTCACGGCTCCTGTCATTTACACCTCTCCTGCAGAGACAAGCTGCCCACGAGAACAATATGTGATGCTGCGGACCAGGCTGCTCAGGTGRAAAGGCAGTGGAAAGGCACAAGCTGCATGAATCTGGAAGTGGTCTGCCAGTTCTTTCTTCACAATTTAACTGTCTTTCACTCTCTGTCCCTCACAATAAAGCATGAAATTAGAATCAGTCATGCTGTGGCCTGAGGATGATTGCTGGTACACATAATTGCCATAAGTGAGATGAAGAGATTTTAGTTTTGATTAAATGGCACTTTTCTGAACCAGCAAAAAAGACTTCAAGTGTTTTTCAATAGCTAAGAAGATGGACCATTTTCTGAGATTAAAGCTCTATATGCTGTATTTTGTGCAATTATTCTATTGTTTAAGCTACGATTTGAGCACGGCTTTTATCAGTTTATGAAGAACTGGCACAAACATCAGATTGAATGTTTTCTTAGCAGGCTTCCCACACTTTAACCCTGAGCTCCTCAGCTTTTCCATACCAGTATTTACAACCTATTCAGGGCTGAAGTGTTATATAAACACAAAGGCGTTCTGTGTTTTTTTTTTCTTTCTTTCTTTCATTTTTGTTCCCCCTTCACCGAGCACCTGCTTAAATTAAATACAGAGAGAGGAGAAACTGAGTGACTCACACAGAACACAGTTCAGCAGCTCCACCTGTTTCTGATGAGGGCTCGTTGTTGGGTGAGAATGTCTCGGTGCCATCTGAACAAGATTTTTGCAAAAATAACAAGACTGGTCTGTGGTAGGGATTTGGATTTAAATACAGTTGTTTAAAAGAATATAAACTCAAAAAGAAAGGGAATTTGGGTTTGGTAGGTTTTTTCTTTGTTGTAACAATGCTTCCTGGTCATAAATCTTATAACGAGCACCTGATTGGCAGCACCTGGTGGTACCAGCTCAAATCAAGAGTCAATATTAACACAATTAGCATTTGGCAGCGATTTGGCAATTTTATTTGTGTGCAAAACACACGTTCAACTCTAGTACGCATCCCACAAATTCATGTTCCTTACAAATATGGCACCATTTAAAAAGGAAATTAACAGATTTTCTAACTGTATAAGATTTGTTGCCAAGAAGCATTGCTACAACTAAGAAATAATCTGCTAAACAGATTTCCTCTCTTGTTTAGTTTTTTTTTTACACTTTCTGAAACTTCATTCACATGTACTTACAGATCTCCATTTATTTTCTTGATAAAATATCTACAACTAATGCAAAAACAATAGACAAAATGAGCCAATTATAGGTGAACCCAAATATTCCAAAGCATGCTATTGTAAACATCACAAACTTCTACTTCTTGTATAAATCCTTAATTTGTTGCTGAGTTACCGTTCTGTTAATGCAAGAGGCAATACTGCCCCCTTGAGGTTTTCAGAAACACTGTCAATTTTGTTT